TACTTGTGTGTGAACTAGATCCTAGATCCTCTTACCAGCATACTTTCCCAATTCTCTTCTCCCTTTTGTCTTTCTTTTTTTGGGGGGGGGCAGTTCTGGGTCTTGAACTCAGGGTCTAGACATTGTCCTTGAGCATCTTTTTGCTTGAGGTTACTGCTCTACCACTTGAACCACAGCTCCACTCCTGGTTTTCTGGTGGTTAATTGGAGTTAAGAGTCTCACAGGCTTTCTTGCCGGGCTGGCTTTAAACTTTGATCCTCAGATCTCAGTCTCCTGAGTAGCTAGGATAATATTCACTGGCCCCCAGATGCATTTTTTTTTAATCAGTCGTGGGCCTGAACTCTGGGCCTGGGCTCTGTCCCTCAGCTCAAAGCTCAAAGCTAGTGCTCTACCACTTGAGCCAAGGTGCCACTTCCGGCTTTTTCTGCTTATGTGGTACTGAGGAATCGAACCCAGGGCCTCATGTATGCAAGGCAAGCACTCTATTGCTGAGCCACCTTCTCAGCCCAAGATCCATTTTGTCTTTTCATAGAGCTTTCTGGAACACTTCTTCACCTTCTTCCCTAAATCCTTATACTACTGTATGGCTCTTGTTGCCCACTAGCTCCCTCCAGGGTAGAATTTATGTCCTCTGTGCACATTGTATCTCAAGTATGAGCCAAGAAGTCTTTCATCTCTGCAAAATCTGAACAATCCTGTGTGTGTGCGTGTGTATACTAGACCTTCAACTCAAGACCAGACTAAACAATCGTGTGTGTGTGTGTGTTTGTGTGTGTGTGTGTGTGTGTGTGTGTGTGTGTGTGTGTGTGTGTACTAGACCTTCAATTCAAGACCAGAATGCTGTCCCTTATTTTTTTTGCTCAAGGCTGGTGCTCTACCAATTGAACTACAGCTCTACTTCAGGTGTGGAGATAGGAGTCTCATGGACTTTCCTGTCTGGGCTGGCTTCGAACTGAAATCCTCAGATTTCAGCTTTCTAAGTAGCTAGGATTACAGCTGTGAGCCTTTCACTCATTATATAGTCAAGGCTAGCCTCAAAATTTAAGATCCTCATGCCTCTACTTCCTGAGCACTGGGATTATGGGCTTGCACTATCAAGCCCTGCTGCAAAAATCTTTTCCTTCAAGGATTTTGCTATCTAATTCTCTCATCGAGGATGTTGGCACCTCTTAGCCTGTGTTTCCCTAGTCTTACCATTTATATAGCCTCAGGTCTTCATGCCAGAGCTTGAATCTCATTCTTTAAGCTTCTGTTTCCTAATCCCCTGTATCCAATTAATTACTAAATCTCATTAAGTCTACTTAATCTTTCTAATCCACCTACTTCTTTCTGCTCCACAGCTTTAATTCAAGGTCCTAATATTTTGGACCTAATGTTACTGAAATGGGTTTCTGTTTCCCTTTGCTCATGAAAACATTCACTGACTGCTGATTGATGCAGTAGATATTAGGGAGACATGAGTCTCCTTTGTCATATAGGGATGCTGTAGGATATGGGCATGGAGAACTGTGGAAACTTTGAGCAGGGGCACCTTGCTTATCATTCCAAGGCCCTGAGACAGAAGCATCTAAAAGCCTGGACTGGTGAGGATTCAGTGCAGAGAAATTAAGAAGGACAGGAAGAAAGAATATTGCAGACCTAGAGACCAGTATGTGCAAAGGCCTGGGGTTCAGAGTTCCAGATTACTAAGATCTTGAACCTCCTCATGTGGCTGCAAAGTGGAGAGTGGATGAGCTGGTTGGATTGTGGGAGTGCAGAGAGGCCCATAGAACACAATGTTGAAATGCTCACAAGAAGGCAATGGCTTATAGTGAGATTTTGTAGGAGGGGGAATGATGGAAAGAGGGCAGACTCCGAAGGAAACCGAAAGAGGAATTGACAGATTGGGATTGGGTTGGACCAGGAGTAGAGAGTAGAGTAGTGGTAGTGAAGGTTTGGGGTACACATTCTAAACTTGAAAATGTGTGTGGGACCAGGAGGAGCAGCAGGTGTTGGATCTGTTATTAAAAAAAAAAAAATTGAGTCTGAGATGCCTTTGGGTTGTGTAAGTGGAGCTACCAGATTTTGAGTGACAAGATGGACACTGAAGTTATGGCTGGGTGACATCACCCTGAAATAGCCAATGAAGATGAAGTGTCCAGACTAAAGGTTTTAGAAATCAATAAGGATGAGACAGTTTAGTAGAAAAATAGGCAAAAATTAGGAAAGTGTATATGTAAATGGCAAGTAAATCCAAAGAAAACCATGAAACCTTCACTTGATAGTATAAGGGAAATGGCTCATTTATGCCATAACAAAATACTGTTTTACAGCCTTCAGACTGAGAAGGATTTGAACTCTGGCAGTGGGCTGGGAGTGTAGCTTAGAGGTAGAGCACTTGCCTCGCATGCACACAAGATCCACTGAAAAAAGAGAACAACAAAAAGTGTTGGCAGGGCTGGGAATGTGGCTTAGTGGTAGAGTGCTTGCCTAGCATGCATAAAGCCCTGGGTTTGATTGCTCAGTACCACATAAATAGAAAAAGCCAGAAGTGGCACTGTGGCTCAAGTGGTAGAGTGCTAGCCTTGAGCAAAAGAAGCTCAAGGACAGTGCCCAGGCCCTGAGTTGAAGCCCCAGGACTGGCAAAAAAAAAAAAAAAAAAGTCTTGGCAATACCCAAGAGGAGAAGGAACACCAGGCACTTTTTTTTTTCTTTTGCTGCCACTGGTTGGGTAAAATTTAGAAACAAATTTGACATCAAGAATGTGAAAGTGCACAAGCTGGATAATAATAAAATGATGGATAACTCAGCAGGAGAGGGCTAGATCTGCCTAGGTATATTCAAGAGCAGAGTTCTGTGCAGCCATGCAATGCATGAATTAGAGCAAAATGTGTCATGTTGTGTGATTAAGTCTCACCACAGTCACAAAGAGATGCATACAATGTGGTTCTATTAATTTTAAACATAAAGTCAAGCAATACAAGGCTATATATATTTTGTTGGCCATGGGGCTTGAACTTAGGGCCTGAGCTTTTTTTTTTTTTTTTTTTTGGTCGTGGGGCCTGAAT